CAAGCGAAATCGAATCACAGCTTCTTTTGGAAACCGTAATTCTTATTCTGGGAAATTTGAATTTCTGCTTTCCTAGAAAACTTCCATTGCTACGGATCGATCAAAGTCGATAGTCTTACATTTTGGACTTTCTTGAACTTGATACTTCCTTAAACTCGCTTTATCAGCACTTTTTGCTGATGGGCAGCAACCATGACTTGTGGCGTCCCTACTTTTCCCGATGACTTGTTCGAGTACCATTGTTTTCCAAATCGGGGCAGTAGCGACAATGAGGGGAATGATTAATTTGGAGAGAACTGTTTTTCTGGGTCTTCGGTTGTCCCCTTTGACTCCCATCGACATGGGAGGAACTCATTAACTTTACTTTTGTACCTTAAAATGCTCCCATGATGTAAATTGTTCGGATTTACATCCTGTCAATGTTATTTTTTACCTCTAAACTAGGTGTAAACCTATTATGCATGATTTGTTATGCAGCCTGGCAATCCTATTATTTCGGGTTGATCCTTATCTCGACGACGCGAGCGCATACTATTGTTATAATTTCAATGAGCGCATGGTCCACACTGCATTCTGCATGTTATTGACGGATATCGATCTCTAAACTCGACTTTCTCAGACTGAACGTGCTTGCCAGTCTGTTGATCGAGTTCTCCTCAAAGGCCTCCACCTTGCAATCGTGGATGACTCATCAAACTCGGGCTATAGGCTTGATTCGTGAAAGATCTGCCGAACCACTCAATCTCAGTGAGGTATGTTAAGGTCGCTTTTTCTAGAAAAGCCTCATGTTCTCTCTTGTGTAATAAAGATGCTAATTTCTTTCTCTTCCACCTTAGGCCCGTCAAGATGCGAGACGTCTACTCGATGAGATCACCCAGGAGGAGAGCCAACTCAGATCTCTCGGTTCTCTGCTAGCGAAGATTGAACAGGAGGTCGACGGCCTCTATGACTCTGCGCCTGTAACAATCACACGTGGGATCCACTCCACTGAAATCCGCAACACCTTCCACAGAGTTGATGTACGTCAACAGCTTTTCTTTCGAGAAGTTCTGAAACAATTCCTACGTTTCCAGGATGATTTTTCGGCATTGAAGAGGCACTGTTCCGATTTGATCCAGTTCCAGAACAAAATTGCAGGGCTCGGCAGTGAGCACGCAGAAAATTTGCGGTGAGAGTTTTGCTGTCATGTATATTTAGGCCTCTACTGACTAACAAACAATATTTAGGAGGATGGAGGACTGGTTCTCGAAAATTGAAGGGGACCTCGACCAAGTCGAGCGCAGATCCGACCGTGATGTCGAACAAAAGCTCGTGATTTTAGAAGGACTCAATCAAGAGGTAATCCCCAGGTGTTTAACTTTGTTAGTCTCAGTAAAATGTGGTTGTGTTCAGGCTGTTGATGGTAACATGTACATTGATTACGCTGATCAAACTTCTCGACGTCTTCTGAACGCATTAGATGGTTTGAGTGCCCATCCAGACGCATCCAGTAAACATGAGTTGGAATCCGAAGAACGACGGAAACGGTAGGGCGTTTGTGTCTTTCAGAGCCGCTTCATAGACTTAAATACGTAGTAATAATGGCATGGAGTTGGAACAAATGCCAGTTTTTTAGGCATTCACGTCTGCTAGATCGCATGCAGCAGGCATTCAATAAAGCAACCGCTGAAAAAGCTGCCAACGAAGGTGTCCGAGACGCAGTTTTAGAATTATGTTCGTGGATAGAAAATTATGAAAGTCGTTCATGTACGGATCGCGACATTCCTCTAATTGAGGAGGATCTGAACCAACTGGTAAGTTCTGTTCTTTTGTAGCCACTTTCCAATTAGTCAGTGGTCGTTAAATTATGGGCCGAACTAAATGGGAGGAAATAAGGCCCATTCTTCGTTGGCAATTATTACATTGTTACATAAATAATGTCGTTTTTTCTAACTGAAGCTTTTCCTATGAGATTCCATGTTTTCGGATCGTGTATTACACCGTCCAATAGGTATTGATTTGCTATCTAACGGAGTTTCTCATGCATACTTATGAGTTAGTTCGAATCAGGTGCAGGCCTGCAAAATGGGAAGCCAGATCGATTAATATTACCAAAGCAGCTTCTAACTTGATCCTTATTTCCGTTGCAAGGAATCAACCAGTGGTATACCATTTAATTAGACACTGCTTTTTCTGGAGATTTCATTGATAGACTGTGAAATAACCATTTTCTCTACAAGCATTCTCTACATTTTTTCTTCATTTTTTTGCCGATTTTTTAAAATTTCATTCTGCCGATTCCCAGTGACTTTTCCCACTCAGATCTTTCTTCCTAACTCATCTTTGTGTAGATTTCTATGTAAAATACGTCCTTTTCTACATTACGCGCATATTATGAACCTTTTTGTTGAGTAGGTAAACTGTTTGAGGGTGAAAAGCGTTCCTCTTCGAAGACTTGACTCACTAGTTTAACTCACGCTGAAATTTGGTGAAAAACGAGAAAGGTAGCTGCTGTTGGGGGAGTGGGTGATGTGTCTAGAAAAGGTCGTGACATGGTGAATAGTACATTGCTATTCGATTCTTTGTAAACGAAAGTAAACGTTGACCCACTGGTCCGTTTATTTACGTCAGTTCAAGCACTATCGTTTCGCAGGTCCAGTCATAACTGATATGAACGAAAAACATATCACCTTGTAGGCAAATAAATGTCCGTCGAATGATTCACAGCATGATCTGAAAGCATGGAATCTTATGGGAAAATTTCCAGTTTGATATAGCGACCTTGCTTTATCGCAACGTGATATTACATTGCCGGGCGTCCCGAATACATATGTCCTATTTGATTGGGGCGCTTGTTGATATGTATCTGATCACTGCTAGATACATATGTAAGGGATTAGTCCCGTAAGAAGGATGTGTGAGCTGACAGAGAAAGTAACGGAAAAGAGGGAAGTTGTTTTTGAACTTCCATATGTCTAAAGATCTGGTATGGTAGGGCATCAGAGAGGGCGGAGGTGGTGTAGTGGCAAGTAGCCACTATATCACACGCACGGTCAGGGATTCAAATCCCGGATCGATGCCCGCCTTGGCCAACCAAGCCTTCCATCCCTCCGGAGTCGGTTAATGGGTACCAGACTTGTCTGGGAGGATAAAAGCACTGACTTGTACATCGGCTGGCCATCGCAAGTCATTGTAAAGGCCCCATACGCACTCAATACGCCACTACGATCCTGAATGGAAGTCGATTGTGGGGGCGCATCCCTCAGACGGGATTGATGAACGTCCCAAGACTTTATCCTTTTATCCTTATGGCATCAGAGGGCGTCAGCAGGTACTTTCTCATACTCTCATCGTACGGGGAGGAAAAAAGTATGAGGGGCAGAAATATTGAAATCAGTAAAGTATTCATTACACTTCAAGAGGATTGGTGGATTTCGAACCACTTATTGATCTCAGTAGGTGAGGGGGTGAGTTGATGTGAGTGAGAAGAAATCCAAACCGCTGTTCTTCCTGTGTTAAGGTGCACTATGTGGTTGAAGACGACGCCGAAATTCTTTGAGGAAAATGTAGTATGAGTATAAAGTAACAACACTATCCATGATTATTTTCAGAAACGCGA